AGTTAATAACAATGTTTTATATTCTTGAAAATTACTAAGAGAATAGGTTTTAAGTGTTCTCATAACAAAAAAGTATAACTATATGAGGTAATGCATATATTGATTAGCTTGATTTAGCCGTTGCACAATGTGTACATATATCAAAATATATTGTACACCATAAATACATACAGTTGTTGTCATTTAAAAATAAAAAATAAAAATTTACAAAAATTAAAAAATAAACTTAAAAATAAAGAGTGGGTGGCAATATTCCGAAAACATGGGAGGTGAAAGTAAATACCTGAGTAAATGCAAGAAAATGTTACTATCTATTTTGCATAATGACATCCCTTTCCTACATATTTTTAGATCCAAAAAGAACCCTTCCCAAGAAAGTATAGGCTTTGGGAAAGGTAGATGCGGGCACACTCTGGTCTTGAGATACCAAATTTATGTTATTAAACATGCCCTTCCCATAGACAGCACGCCAAGGAATCAGGCATTAGTGTTGAGTTTTGAAGATCTTGATTCTGGAAAATGACATCCTTAGCTCAGTTCCCCTTCAGTGCAGCTCAGGCGTTCCTAAATCTTATAGAAGAGTCTGTGCTGTTAATAACTGGCTGATTATAAAATCTTCAAATAAGTAAATGCATACCTCCTATTCTTATTTTACCGGATAGATGCCATGTCCTAGTCCTAGCACATTCCCTCTTCCAGTGCATTTGCTGATACAGTGCATGCATGCTCCATTCTGTTGCTCCCATTATACCCTTCTTTTATACACTTTCTGATCTGCAGCTACCCAAAGATCTAGTCTTAACATCGGTTACCTTCTTTGCCACACAACCCTCCTCTAGTACCCCAGGATAAAGAAGTTTTTCCCATCTCATGACATAGAGTTCTTTTGCTCTAGAATCAGTTAACTGTTCTCATTGTATTTTCATTGAAGATGTGGATGTCCTCTGCCACACCTCTTTTCCTTTCTTGTATTTTCTATTTTTTCATATTTCTATATGAAGGACTATGTAGCTCTTTCTGCCCAGACTTTATCTCATGCAGCTCCACTGTAATATGCCCCAAACTGAACTCTCTTCTCTTCATTCCCTTGCCTCTTCCTCCACTCTGCCCCTAACACTTCCAGCCTCAGATTTCTCATCTCAGTGATTAACACCATCATGAAATCTCTTCCTGAAATAAAAGTTTAAATATCTTAGACATACCTCTTTTTCTCACCCTCCTATATTTCTCTATCATTTTCACTTTCAAATCTACTTCCTAACTTTCTTTCCTCTCTTTCTTAGCCTTGTTCCTATCATGTCTCAGTGGACTATGGCTATAGCCCCCTAACAGGGTTCCATCCATTTTCTACACTGCCTCTAAAGTTGCTATTCTGAGACAGGATGCTCAGTGGAACTTTTCCTGTGGTCTCACAACTAGCCCCCTCACCATCAATACTCTAAGAAGGGTCCTTCTCTCCTGCCTGAGCCCAGTTCTATATAAACAGAAGATAAAGGAAGAGTGGTGGGGAGAATCATCAGACTGATGACTTGCAGGCCAAGTGGGGAACAAAGTATATTTCTCTTGTCTACACCAAGTGACGGTCAACCAAGATAATCACTTTTAGAGACTGCAGATGCTCCAAGAAGTAAACACTGGAATCCCATTCCCTCATTAGAGGTTTGCTTGAGTTACACACTTGGTGAATCTGATGAGCTTTCCTGCATGCATTTTCCCCTCAACAGCCCCCACCCCTTCTCACTTCCAGCAGGAAAAAAGACAACTTGATAGGAAAGGGTAACATTCCCTCCTCTTATCTTTGCATGGAGACATGGGATTTCTTTGGGTCAAATGGATACCACAGAATGAAGCTGAGTTTATGCTGCTTTGGAAGGTTTTGTCTCCCCTGCTCTCCACCCAAGAGATATGGCCAATGTATCCTAGCACCCAGTAACAATAGGTTGTGACACCATGAAGCAAGGAAAACTCTGTTGGAAAAAAATAAGCTGGGACTTGGTCTCTCCAAATCCAGCAACTGATAAGAATTCCTTCTCCCCAAGGGGTCAAGAGGTAGCATTTGTAGAAGGCACTCACCATCAGCCACATTGGTAAGAAAGGCGGAAACAACCATTGGAAAGAAGACTATGAAGGAAGCCGCTGGAGTGAGATACATGCATCTCTTCTGTCTCGATGAAGAATTCCCAATGACTCCTTATTCCCTACGCTATAGCATAAAAATATGTACTCTCTGCATGACTCAGAAGGCATTTGTAATCAAGCACCTTTTCCCCTCATGCGGTTATTTACTTCTTATTTTCATTTTCGACACTTGCAATTGTCCCAATGGTATCAGACACTCCCACCCCTCTGTGTCTTCACAGTTTCTTCTACCAGGACAGTACTTCGCTACCTAATCTACAAAAAATTCCTTCAAGTCTTGGTTTAGGCAAGGTATCTCTTAAAGCCTTTCCTAATGTGTGCAGGCAGACTGATTTATTTCTTCTACCATATTCCTCTGGTACATACAATTCAACTATCTTACTGAGTCACTTCTCAAGACACTAGTTGTGCATCCGTCTTCATACTAAGCCCTAAGTTCTTTGAAGGCATCTACGGTGCCTTCCTTTGTAACCCCACACGCAGGGGTGGAGGGAAAGGGCTGTTGAAGTACAAATATAGAGCCTGGACCAAGAACATAACCAGATACCATGTGAAATTTTGTTTTCAAGGGATGCCTTAAGTCTGTGTTGATGCAGACTTTGGGCTGAAGAGAGAAAATCTGATTCTATCCACCAAGATTCTATTTGATTTATCTTCTTCTCAACGTTTGACACAGACTCCTCAATTTCAGCCAATTCTAAAAGGCCTGTACCCACCCTGACTCAACGTACACCCTCCCTATTCTACCACAGTGGAGTCTCAGTTATCTACAGGAAGTCACTTTCTCCACATCTCTGACTAGGGCTGGTATGTGGTATTAGGATACAATGTAAAAAATGCATTGATTATATGCTATTTTAGTTGCTTCTCTCTTAGTATAAATCCAATCTTATTTAGGTTACAAGATTCTAGAAGGCAGGCCTTATATGCTCTGTATTCCACATAGTGGAAATACCTCTAATTCTGTAAATGGCTTCTTAAAAGTCATACTGAGCCAAACACTGTGGAAAGTGGTAGATATTATGGCCTCTGCGCTAAAGGACTTCACAGAGGCTGGCCTTTCTCTGTCTTGGAAGATTGTCCTTTTTGACCTTGAGGAAAGCACCAGCGAGGGCCTATGGCATGGTGAGGACAAAGAGGACAGTCAAAGCAGTTGGTCAGGCCATCAGGGAATCCACCCTGCAACCAACAAGGTGACACAAGTCCCATACAAATTATCCTCACAACCTTTTTGCTTTCTAGTCCTGGAGCTCTCTTTATCTGTCCTACTTGGTTTTGACTACATAGTAACTGCCACAAGAATGGGAAAAAGTAAAAAGAGACAGACCTCAGAATCAAAAGTGATTGAATTTAAATTTAATTCGGCCTAAATAGAGGTAATGAAATTTAGTCACTAATTCAGCTGGGTTGACCAGTCTCATATAGTACCAAGATAAATACAGGAGGGTTGATTGGATCAGGGGATTGTGTTGCGTTGATCATTTCCTAGGCTTTCTCCATTCCCTCACTGGCTGCTTCCTTACTGCAGATTTGCCCAACACACATGCATAGAAGCCACACAGAGGATACCCTTTCTTTCTCCCACTTGTCAACTAAATCCTCTCCCTTTTCCTGAAGTGATTCTCTACCATCACCATCTCTCAAAAATCATGCTAAGTTGCAACAATTGATTTTATCTTGTTCCCATAAATTAGATATTAACAGTTCAGGTCTTTAAGGTCTTTCATTTCAATCAATAATACATATTTCTGAAATTCTAAATAAAAGTGGCCTCTGACTTTGAATTTCTCAAGTCTTAGACACGTATGCATGCAGTCTATAAACAGACTATGTCTGTGTATGTGTCAGAGACTATATGTGTGTATGCATATTATATCCGTGTATGTATTGAGAGAGACACGTGATACATATGATCAATCAAGAGTAGAAATATATTTTCTTCTACTCCTTCACTCTCCCTTTACTTTTGTCTCTAGGACAAAAGCTTTGCCTCCATCCCTGCTTGCTCACATCCACCCCTCCCTTCTTTCACTCTGACTTCTAACCCTTTTTCTCCCCATTAACGCCCCCCACCTTCATTTTAAACCTAGTTTTATCTGGATCCTCTCAAGGAATTGCACTGTGATAGTGAAGAGACCCAGCCTCCAGGCTAAACTCTGGTGTGTCATTTAGTTACTAAGGACATTAATCTTCCTCCTTAGTTCTCTCTTAAGGATTATTTAAATTGGGCAGATTGAGAATCCATCTATTTCTTTAAAGCCCAGTCTGTGAATAGCTGTTAACACAATGCAAGAGTTTAAGGCATTAAGCATGTACCTGCAAGTACTTTGCAGTTCTTCATTTCCTTCCCTCTGGGAGTGCTTTCCAGTAGACAGGGGGAGGGGAGGGAGCACAGCATAAGTAAGCTGATTTATCTGGAAAAGCACTCCTCTCCATCTTTGCCATTTTAATAAAGCTTAGCTTGGGGAAAGATTTGGAGGCCTTCAGGAGCGGGCCCGTTAAAACAATTGAGGAGTGTGTGAAACACAGCTCAGGCTCTGCATCCCAGTCTTCAAACTGACGTCACCTCATAAATCCACAGGCACAGCCTGGACCCATCAGCGAGCTGCTTTTTCAGGAGATTAATTATTTGTTCAGACAGGGGTCAGGTGGAGGGTCTTTGAAAGATTCCTTCAGTGTTTTGCCCCACCCCCTCTCATGGGGGTGAAAAATAGAACTCTCTGTACAGCCAAGCTGTAGAAAGAACACTGTGTGCGGAGTCAGAAGGGACGTGTGCAGCGTTTGACCCACACTGCCCAATTAAGACAGGAGGGGACTGAGGGGCCAGAGAAGTGAAGGGGCTGTGCGTTGGCTCTCCTTACCTTGCTGTCCTTAGGTTATAGGTTTTGCAATTTGTCCCCAGGGCAGACTTCAGTCAGGCTGAAAATGCAATAAATTGAGAAAGGCATGGCGTTAGGGGAAGCCAGCTGACAGAAGGACAGTTGGACAGTGTCTGCAATCCAAGGGGGTCATGGAGGCTCTGGGAGGCCTCCCTGTCAGCCCTGGAGCAGAGGTTTCTTTCCAGAAAGTGCTGGGCTTTGCACATCGACCACCTGGATATGTCTCTGGGGAGTCACTTACACACACTGAAGAACAGCAATCACTTAACAAAAAGCAGAGGAGAGGAGAAAAGGCTGAGGTGCAGCAGTTGTCAAATGCACGACAGTGTCCAGAAGGAAGATTGCAAAGGCTCTGTACTCTCAGGGCAGGATAATGGGAAAGGGAGATTTTCTGAGAAAGGGAGTAGGGATTGACTAAACTGGAGTTAGTCGGAAAGGTACTCAAATTTTGTTCACCCATGTTAGGGAAGTTGTAAACAGTGGTTTGTTAGTAAGCGGTTAAAAACTGTCAGGGGAAGGGGGTGAGCTGTCCTACTTATCATCTGCTGATTTCTGTGGTGTAAATACCCACTTCGACCCTGATTTCAAGCACCAATGTGAGGTCACTGATGAGGGGTTGGGAAGAGATGGAAAAATAGGCTCTTCTGAGCTAGTGCAAGCTGGCTCCAGGTCACCCCTGGTTGTCATAAATACGCTAACAAGGTTCCTAAAGAATGTTCTCAGTTATCGTGCCCTAAGAGGCTACATGGTCCAGCTAAAGGGGCTGGAATCCAGTCCTAGTGTCAATTTCTTCCTGTCATCCAATCCCAGCTGTCAGTTTACAATTTGTGCACTTTTCTCTGTATATTTCCATACAAAGTTGAAATATTAAACAGTGCAAAATAAAGAAGTCTTGCTATCCCCTGCAATTACAAATGTATAAAATTTGGCATCCTCAATTCCCATCATCATTTCTCTAATAGTTCTTGCCTTTGATAGGGCACAGGATTGGGTTGTATTGGCAGCGAACAAAAAGAGGAACTGCAGACTGCAACTGGTGGAACTGCAACCAGTGTGCGGCCCCCTATTTGAAGGAATGGAAAGAGAAAGCCTAACTCTCCTGTCAGGTATAGGGTCTGATCTGCGCAGCCTGATGGGAATCAGAGAGTTCTGGAACGCAGCTCCTTTCATAGCCCTTGGCTCCTCTGCACGCCCCAAATAAACACAGATTGTCAGTAGTGGTTTCAGATGAATCCCCCTGCAAATGCTGGCATAGCAGGCTGGGGCAGCCACGAGTCTTACCCTCCAGGGAGGGAGCCCAGAGCGGGACTGCCACGCAGAGATGTAGTTGAAGAGGGGAAGGGGTGGGGGTCTGTGAAAGCCAATCGCAGAGTCCTGTGGTTTGGCAGTTGGCCTGGGAGCCCTGGAGCCTTCTGGGAAAAAGCCAGGAGGGGAGGACAGAGTGAGGGAGAGGGGGTGGGGGAACTGCTTCTCAAGGTTGGGCTGGCTGCTGCGCCTGTCAGGGCCAGAATTGTCAGCTCTTTTCTGGAGTGACTTACTACATACAGAGAGGAGGAAAATGAACTAAGGTGCACTGGGCAAGTCACCGTCAGGATTTCCCTCCAATCTCACGATAGTCCTACGAGGCAGATTTTCATCACCATTTCTCAAATGGGGAAACTGAGGCCCCACAGGTAAGAGGATTGGCCTGTGTCACACTGATATTAATGGCTAAAGGTGAGATTTGATTTCGCCCCTTTCTGCACCCAAGGCCCTGATCTCCCTTTGGTTTCATGCTCCTTTTTGGCACCTCTAAATCAAACCCTTTGGCTCCACCAGCCAATCTAGTGTGACCCCTATTTGATTTTAGTTTGTTTCACTCTTTTGTAAACGGGTCCCTTGGTTGTTGAAGTGGCTGTCCAGGCTGACTGTGGTGGCCTCCCGTGAGGACAAGGGAAGGGACTCTTGGCCTCCAGCTTGTCTGTGGGGCCGGGATGGATGTGCTCCTGTAATCCACACCAGAGAATCTGAGCTGTGTCGGCACAGCCAGGACACAAGTGCCATCCTCCTGCCAGAAGATTGTTAATAACACCAACAATTTCTTCGACTTCCAGCTGTGGATACCAGCAGCCTGTGTTAAGTCAACTGTGTGTCCTCACTAGCGTGTTGGCGCTGGTCAGCTGCTTAGTCATAAATCCAGACATGTCTATCTATCTGTCCATCAGTCCTTGTGGTCACATTGCCCTTGAAATCTTTCCTGCACAAACACGAAACTTAACCCGAACTCCTCACAAGGGTACTCAGCCCTTGGCTTTCACTCGGAATAAACAGTCAGGTCTCTAGATGCAAACCCATTGCCCAAAGTGAAAGGCAGCCAGCACGGCCACCTGCTGCTTCCCCTCTTGCGTCCCTCACACTGTCTGGGTACTTCCCCACTGCCTTTTTGTTATTCTCTATTCGAATGTCAAACGCTAAAGTTCCTAGTTGTTTTAAGAACTTTTGCTGAATTTCTGCCGTTCTGATAAAGTCTTCCATTTCCATTATTGTTAAGATGATGGCTTTCCTGGCTGGGAGAGTCAGTAAGAGCTTTTTCTCTCACTTGAGCAGGTCTATTTTATCATCTTGCAAATAGGAATACTGTACATGGACTTCCACAGACAATAGTGATGCTACCACCCACTAATAATGATAATAAATGTTAGCTGTTACTGCAGCCACTGCTACAGCTAACGTTTATTGAGCACTTACTATGTGCTGGGCAGTATGTATTAAATGCTTTATAAAGATTAAGTATTTGATCCTCACAATGACTCCATGAAGTAGAGCCCATTATGTTCTCCACTTTCGTAAGAAGAAAATGAGATTCAGATGAGTTAAGTTAAAACTTACTTAAGTTTTGAAAACTAATAAATAATAAATGTGGTGCCAGAATTTGTGTTTTTGACCACTTTTCTATAGTGATATGAATCCCAAATATGTGTGTGTATGCATGTACAAAATTAAGCTTCACTATATGAAGTGCTCATTTTAAAGGTCAGAAGCTGTTCAATATTAGCAGTTTCATGATTCAACTTAAAATACTTCAGCCAGAATTTTCTGAATGTGGCTGTGAGACTTGATTATCCTCAGACTTTGGTGCGTTTCCTGGAACAGGCCCTTAGTCAGTAAATGTTTTCTGAGCATAAGAGTGAGGAATTGAGTGGGCACAGGAATGCAGAGAGGGGTGTGAATGATCACAAGCAAAGGCAAGTTTCAGTTGCAGGGGGAATGAATTTCAGGGGGCATGGCAAGGAGCGTGGGCATGGCAAGGGGTATGGGCAGGTGCGTGTGGGCACGCGTGTGCATGTGTGTCCAAGGACCTGTGCCAGTGGTGAGTGGGTGCAAGCGCTTTTAAAAGCTACACCCTGCTATTATTTTCCCTGTGGAGTGACGTGACCACTCACGTTTCCATCCTATAGTTCTCATGGCTGCCACAACATACTACCTTCAAAAGAAATAATCGAAGAGACATTCTTTTGAAGAAAGTGTTATAGGTTTAGCCACCTCCCATAACTCCTTTCTAATACCAATAACCTCGGTTGAGAGAGTGTTGGTTTCAATTCAATGGGAATTGATTTGAGAGCGAATCATCCCATGGTCGAAGCCCCTGGAATCAATCTATCCTCTCATCTCGCTTTTTCTTTCTCTTTCTTCTCATTATCTGTTAGAATCAAAGTAGTGCAAACCTGATTCTCCTTTGTAATCTCTGCAACCCAGCGCACCTGGTGGGGAGGGGAGGCCGGAGGTGCTGGAGAAGAGTGAGAGGGAGAATGAGGAGCATTGGGGTGGGCACCAGGCTCTCTGGGAGGAAGGTGCATCGGGAAGGCAGGTGGAGCCCGACCTTGCCAGATGGGATGTTCTAGGCACCCAAGGAGCAAGGACACCAAACCCTAAGATCCAGAAAGCAGGAAGGCAAAGCTTAGAGCTTCATTTATCCTCCCTGGGATGCCTTTGGACATGATTCAGGAAAGAGAATGAATAAAGTCAGCACAAAGGTGTGAAAGGTGGGTCAGATACCAAGGGGAACAATATGTAAGAGAGGCAGGAGAACATACCCTCTGCCCACCCCTGCAAAGCAAGGTCACCACATGCTTTAATTTTGTGTCACACACTTCTGTCAGTAAAAATGTTTTTAATACATCTGCAAATAAATGCATGTTAATATTTTAATAATATATACACTTAGTACCATGACGATATACTATGTACATTATGAAACAGACACAAAAATATAAATTAAAAATTGATAAGATAAAAATAAGTAAGAAAAGAAGTTATATTTTCTTTCCAAACTCCCAAGGAATCATCTCGTGTACCTCTGAGGTGAACTCACGTCATTCTGCAGGCCTTTGGGTTAGAACAGTGCTGCCAATAGAAATATAATGCAAATTGCATATATAATTTACATTTTTCTAGTAATCTTATTTTAAAATGTAAGAAGAAATAAATGAAATTATTTCTAATAATACATTTTAATCTAACCCAATATATCCCAAGTACCATTATCGCAATGGGTAATCAACATAAAATTATTAATGTGAGATTTAAAGTTCTTTATTTTACAACGAAGGCTTCTAAATTTGGTGTATATTGTACACTTACATCTTCATTTGGATAGCCCACATTTCCAGTGTTCGTCAACTACATGTGGCTAGCATCTACTATATTAGGTGGTATGGGGTTGAAGGACTGTGATACCAGGAGGAATGGGAATCCTAGCAGACACTGAATTTCTGTTTGCGGTCAAGGCTGAGAACGTTAGCATAAGGATGCTTAATGTGCTATTGCCAGCAGTAGAACTGTAATCTTCCAGTTCCTTTAACCAGATGGCCTTATAATAAGCACATTACTCAGGTTGCAGAGTAATATCATTCCATGAAAAAGGAATTACACATAAGTACGTAAACGTATGAGCATAGCAAAAATATGCATGAGCACACATTAACAATGAATATCGATCACCTTGAGGATATGGAATAGGAGGACAGTGAGCAGCAGAGTATTAAAATTTTCTATATATGTATCTATATAGTTTCAGTTGTCAAAATCTGTATTTATTTTTTAAATATTCCAAAGGACAATAATTTTCAAGCACATGTATTTTTTTCAGAAAGTATGCAGGCTGAATCCTTATTGATAAAATAATATTTCCTTCAGTTATAGAAACCTAAACCTACCTGTAGAGTCACCATGTTCCTCTTATTGAATGAAAGAGTCTTCATTCTTTTTTTATTCTTTCTTTTTTACATGGAGGACGAGTAGGGAAAGGGATTTTGGGCTTAGGGTTGCCAGATAAAATACAGGAAATATGGTTAAATTTGAATTTTATATGAGCAATGATTAATTTCTTAACATAAGCATGCCCCATGCTGTATTTCCCTTGAATGATCCAGGGATAACAGAAATATTTGCTTGGAACATGTGTATTTATTTATTTTATTTATTTTTTATCCTTACTAGCAGGATGTCAAAGTGCATACGTATTTATGCTAAAAAATTATTCGCTGTTTATCTGAAATCCAAATTTTACTGGACACTTTTAAAAAAAATCAAATCCAGCAAGCCTGTTTGGGCTGTCATTATGACAAGTGAACTGCTGTGGTCTTGCATGACTGCTTTTCTCTGCACCTCAGGAAAGTGCTACCTCCAACGGAATTATTCCCGTCAGTGGTTCCCAACCGGGATGTGGTGGAGAGGTGCTTCTAATTCCTCCTGCCGGCACAGTAATTATGAAAGTAGATCCATCTTCCTGTCTCTCAACTTCTCGACCTAGTTCCCTTCCAAGTAAGTTCTTCGTTTCTTGAATTTGACTTCCTTGTCTAAGGTGTTTTCAAAAACCTGACTGGAGAAAAGACAACACTCTCAAATATCCCAAATAAGCACATTACTAACTATGGCAGGCAAAGCTACCTATTTTAGTCTCAGCTCTGAAAGAATTTATGGTATTTATCAAGGAATATGCTCCACTGTTTTGTTATATACCTATATGAACCACAGTGCCGGAATCATGGCAAGTGGTATAGCTGTGTGTTGTGTGCGCGTGTGTGTTGTGTTGTGTGTGTGTTGTGTGTGTGCATGTTGTGTGCTGTGTGTGTGTGCGTGTATGTGTTGTGCATATGTGTGTTCACCCTGTTATCTTCAACAACACACAGTGGTATAGCTGTGTGTTGTGTGTGTGCATGTTGTGTGTTGTATGTGTGGTGTGTAGTGTGTGTTTTGTGTGTGTTGTGTGTGTTTTGTGTGTATGTGTTGTGTGTGTGTGGTGTGTGTTTTGTGTGTGTGTGGTGTGTGTGTTGTGATTGTGGTGTTTGTGGTATGTGTGTGTTTTGTGTGTTGTGTGTGTGTTGTGAATGTGTGTTGTGTGTATATTTTGTATGTGTTTATGTGTGTGGTATTTTTTGTGTGTGTGTGTGTTGTTAATGTGTGTTGTGTGTGTATTTTGTATGTGTTTGTTATGTGTGTGGTATTTGTGTGTGTGTGTGTTATGTGTGTATTGTGTGTGTGTGTGTGTGTGTGTGTGTGTGTTGGGGAGAAGGGGTTAGAAATACCTTATACCCAGGACATTTCCACTGCCCGCCACTGATTGCTGGTGATCAGATGGACACTGACTTACATCGGGTTTTCAGAATCCCAAAGAGCATAACATCTTATGCATCTCTATTCATCAAATTCAAGTTTTTAGGTTTATCAGACAAGGGCTTGTTCTTTTCTTTTAATGATGCAGGGATAACCTTAACCTCAAATAGCTAACTTGTCAATCCACCCCAAAATGCAAATCCTTAAGAAATTAGCCTGGGCACTTGTCTCAAGAAACCACAGTACTTTTTCCCTGGCATTTTAATGATACAAGAATTCTTTGATCCAGAGCTTTCTAATGTCTAATCCATTAGCAGAATTGCTTTTTCTATCACAGCCCTCTTTACCAGATTCAATTAGCACTGTCTACAGAGTTATACCAGAGATTGAAAGACAGATGCTTATTCCAGTCTCCAAAGATCTCTATGTGTATCTTGAGTGCTGTCACTCAAAAAATGAGACATGAATATGTAATTTAGAGAAAAAGAAATAAAAAGTATAAATATATAGAAAATCCCAAAGTTATGAGCACTCAAAGAAATAGTTAAGTCGAAATAATGTATTTTAAAGATGTATAAAGTTGGTTCTAGCCTTGATGTTCTCAACCTAATCAGCTATTCAGTTTCAGCTTTTTTCTTCTTCAACATCAGTCCTGCAATTCCTAAACTTTAGTATTTGATCTCATAGGTTCTTATCATATGAAGTCAGCACAACAATATTAGTAATATGAACAATGCATATTCACATGCAAAATCGGGTAAGAATTCTAAGTATAACCTTTAATGATCTTCTTGTGTGCTTTATATGTTGAAATTCTACTCTGAAACAGATATATATGTGACTGATTGAAAGAGAAAAATGTTTTAATAATTGTAATGATTATGAAAGCTATTAATTTCATGAACACAATAGCTAAGAATTTCCAATTAGCTAAAAAATAAGAAAATATATTTCCAGTTAATACTAGTATTAAAATAATATATTAATTAGATAAACTTAGAGCATAATATGCTGCTTTTTTTTTTTTTCCGAGATAGAGCCTTGCTCTGTCACCCAGGCTGGAGTGCAGTGGCACGATCTTGGCTCACTGCGACCTCCACCTCCTGGGTTCAAGCAATTCTCCAGCCTCAGCTTCCTGAGTAGCTGGGATTACAGGTGTCCACCACCACACCTGGCTAATTTTTGTATTTTAGTAGAGATGGAGTTTCACTTTGATGGTCAGTCTGGTCTCAAACTCCTGACCTCAAGCAATTCACCCACCTTGGCCTCCCAAAGTGCTGTGATTACTGGTGTGAGCCACCACACGGAGCCCATTATATGCTTTTTAAGGCAGCACATTTATAAAAGTTTCAATAATAAGTTAGTATAACATACACCTTCCCAGTTAGGCATATAATAGATCATAATTTTATCTTTTGAAAAATGTTTAGGTATAAGCATTTATAAAATAAAATTAACATGAAACAAAATAACCTTTAAAAACTATATTTAATATTTAGTTATTTAATCCCATGTAGATCATGATTCACTAAAGAAAAATATGTAATTTATTAATTTTTTCTATGCTATGAGAGCAGGTTAAAAGCACAATGTTAACTTGGTCATCTCAAGGTGTATTAAGCAGAAAAGAACAACATCCTTTATACATTCCATATTGACAAAATAAAGAATATTAAATGCGAATAAAGGAAGAATGTTAGAAAAAAAATTCAGTACTTCAAAAGTGTCTTATTTCCCCACTGATCATAAATGAAAAAGTTCTACTTAATATCACAAATGCTCAGATAATGACTGCAAGAGCAATAAAATAGCTCACTATTCTGAGAAAATACTATTTTTGCACTGTAATTCAAACTTTAAACATTTAACTTAGAAATTTCAACAGCAACATTCATAATTATAATTAAACTTTTAAACAAAATTTCAGAATAATTTTTGTATGCTTTTATTTTATTTCACGATGATGATATTTGACTTCATATTTTATTTTAGGCAAATGTAATTTTGGGAAAACACTATTTTCCCATTTGTTATCTGGCCAAATGTTCATCCAGTGCGTGTCTAATTTACTATTTCAAAAGACTGAATAAGAGAGAGAGTATCCAGACTAAAACTGACACCCAAAACCACTATCAGAAAAAAAAAATTCTCTAAATGTTGTCATCCGTTTCTTGTTTTCTAGAGCTGGTGAATAAAGCAACCAAAACAAAACTAAACAAAAATCCCCCAAAACAAAATACCTGTCAAGTATCAAAGCTATAGAACAAAACAATTTTAAACTTGGAGGAGCTCAGAAAATTTTGTACCCATGTACCCTTTGGAGAAACCTACTTGAAGATGAAATTCATCCAGCAAGAAATTAATGAGGAAACTTTATCAGTGGCAAATTTTAAATCTATTTTAATTATAGATATAAGACAAAAGAGGAAACAAGAGTGAAAGAATAAGATATTATATAATATATTCAATATAGCATGTGTTGTAAGTTTTGACAATGTAAAAATAATGCAAAGTTTACACCAAACATATTAGTCTTATTAAAAAATGTGAATAGACTTAATTCACCTATTAAAAATATTTCCATCATGACTGAAAATATGAGGTTCAACTATATACTGATTATTTTTTAAAAACCTAAAACAAAATAATTTGGAAACAAAATAATTTGGAAAAAAATGCCGAGTGGGCTGGGTGCAGCGGCTCACGCCTGTAATCCCAACACTTTGGGAGGCCAAGGCTGGCGGATCACTAAGTCAGGAGACTAAGACCATCCTGGCTAACACGGTGAAACCCTGTCTCTATTAAAAATACAAAAGTTAGCCAGGCGTGGTGGTGCATGCCTGTAATCCCAACTACTCTGGAGGCTGAGGCAGGAGAATCGCTTGAACCCGGGAGGCTGAGCTCGCAGTGAGTCTAGATTGTGCTGCCACTGTACTCCAGCCTGGGCGATAGAGCAAGACTACGTCTCAAAAAAAAAAAAAAAAAAAGGAAAAAAAGAAAAAAAAAGGCAGCAAATGGAAAAAATTAGAAAGCAGGTATAGTGATACTGATGTCAGACAAAGTAGACAAATTAAATGAGACAAATAAGGTCAGTTTTTTATGGGTTGTGTTTATAGATCTGTATTTTGCAATCAACAAGAGAAAGTTTTAGAGAATAATATATTTGGTTACAGTTCCACATATCTGTAGTAAATAGAAAGCCACATGATATTAAATCTGGCCGTAAGTAAGGTAAAGCTGAAACATTCAACTCACATAAAATTACTTTTTGGAGAGTAAATATGCTAATAAGTAATTATGTCAATGACCGTTTCTTTTTATGACTATTTGCAAACTGATCCCTTTTCTCTAATCATTGTGACTCACCAATGTCCAAACTGGCCTCTTTACTTTGGTGTTACTACCCAGGGATTTCTGAGGCAACATAAGTTTGAATTCATAAAAACAGTAGATGCTTTAACTTTTCAGCGACTGTTTTTAAATCTGTAAACTCAATAATCACATTAGTTAGCCCAGTAACTATAAAAACATTGAGATTTCAGCATTGCAAGTCAGGATCTCTTTGAGCATTTTAGGTTAAGCTGCTTTGGAATCTTTTTGGTATTTATCAGTCGTTTGTATTTCCTTTATACAAATAAAATAATATATTTAAAGTAATTTTTAAGGTTAAATGTCATGGCAGACTTATCAGTACTTGTTATTTTTAAAACAGCATAAACCAATTATTATTTTTTCATTCAGTATTTGGAATAGTTGAAATAATTTCTGGTCCCTCCTTACATCAACCAATATACCACTTTTTTTCATGACATATAACACTAAAAATTACAGGCATCCCTGCAAAGTTTTTAAGTAAATGAGAGAATCACAGTGGAGTCTCAATCAGTTAACAATGTAGATCAATTACAAAAAAAAAACACATAAAAATCATATTAAAAGAAAATCTTCAAGCTAAAAAACAAACAAACAAACAAAAAAACCCCAAAATCCTCCTAAGAACTAAAACTGAGTATGTGTTGTCATTGATTCTGTACTTGTATCCCCTGTCTGATTAGAGTCCTCCTCATGTTGTAAGATATATTTGCTGAAACCTTCATGCCACGTTTTCAGGACACTTAATATGAAAAAGCTATGCTACTACCACATCTAAGGGAATATATGGGTAGTGATTCTTCACTAATAGACTTCACATCCAAAGATCAGCACTGAGTCTCACTCCCCTCATTCACCTGCATCTTCTCAGGAGATAATGCTTGCTGTGCAAATAAATAAAAGGTCCCATTTTAATGATAAGTGCCACAGTTCACAATGAAGTTATAATAGTCACAGTTATCTATGTACCAAATAACACAGCAACATATTTTGAAGCCAAAATTTCAGAAATGTAAGGACACATAAATGGAAACACATAAATAATAATAAAAAACATTCAATGAGTTGCTCTCAGTATAAGATAAATGGAGGCCAGGCATGGAGGCTCATACCTGTAATCCCAGCACTTTGAAAGGTGGAGGCAGGGGGATCACAAGAAGTTAGGAGTTCCAGATCAGCCTGGCCAATATGGCAAAACCCCATCTCTACTAAAAATACAAAAATTAACTGGGGGTGGTTGTACATGCCTGTAACCCCAACAAAATGGCTCGGAGGTTGCAGTGAGCCAAGATTGCACCATTGCACTCCAGTCTGGGCAACAGAGCGAGACTCTGCTTTAAGAAAAAAAAAAAA